TAAACGTTCGTTTGACAAATAGGCGGCAAATCGGTTCGTTTAAAAAGCACTGATTGCCTGATTTGTTAGCAAATTCGAATGTTTCACACTTTGAAATTTCATGACACCAGCTGCTTCAACTCAATTGACTGCTCAATCGTTCGTTTGAAAAGCACTGATTGCCTGATTTGTTACCAAATTCGAATGTTTCACACTTTGGAATTTCGTGAAACCAGCTGCTTCAACTCAATTGACTGCTCAATCGTTCGTTTGAAAAGCACTGATTGCCTGATTTATTAGCAAATTCGAATGTTTCATACTTTGGAATTTCGTGAAACCAGTTGCTTCAACTCAATTGACTGCTCAATCGTTCGTTTGAAAAGCACTGATTGCCTGATTTATTAGCAAATTCGAATGTTTCACACTTTGGAATTTTGTGAAACCAGTTGCTTCAACTCAATTGACTGCTCAATCGTTCGTTTGAAAAGCACTGATTGCCTGATTTATTAGCAAATTCGAATGTTTCACACTTTGGAATTTCGTGAAACCAGCTGCTTCAACTCAATTGACTGCTCAATCGTTCGTTTGAAAAGCACTGATTGCCTGATTTATTAGCAAATTCGAATGTTTCACACTTTGGAATTTTGTGAAACCAGTTGCTTCAACTCAATTGACTGCTCAATCGTTCGTTTGAAAAGCACTGATTGCCTGATTTGTTAGCAAATTCGAATGTTTCACACTTTGAAATTTCGTGAAACCAGCTGCTTCAACTCAATTGACTGCTCAATCGTTCGTTTGAAAAGCACTGATTGCCTGATTTGTTAGCAAATTCGAATGTTTCACACTTTGGAATTTCGTGAAACCAGCTGCTTCAACTCAATTGACTGCTCAATCGTTCGTTTGAAAAGCACTGATTGCCTGATTTGTTACCAAATTCGAATGTTTCACACTTTGGAATTACGTGAAACCAGTTGCTTCAACTCAATTGACTGCTCAATCGTTCGTTTGAAAAGCACTGATTGCCTGATTTATTAGCAAATTCGAATGTTTCACACTTTGGAATTTTGTGAAACCAGTTGCTTCAACTCAATTGACTGCTCAATCGTTCGTTTGAAATGCACTGATTGCCTGATTTATTAGCAAATTCGAATGTTTCACACTTTGGAATTTCGTGAAACCAGCTGCTTCAACTCAATTGACTGCTCAATCGTTCGTTTGAAAAGCACTGATTGCCTGATTTATTAGCAAATTCGAATGTTTCACACTTTGGAATTTTGTGAAACCAGTTGCTTCAACTCAATTGACTGCTCAATCGTTCGTTTGAAAAGCACTGATTGCCTGATTTGTTAGCAAATTCGAATGTTTCACACTTTGGAATTTCGTGAAACCAGCTGCTTCAACTCAATTGACTGCTCAATCGTTCGTTTGAAAAGCTCTGATTGCCTGATTTGTTACCAAATTCGAATGTTTCACACTTTGGAATTTCGTGAAACCAGCTGCTTCAACTCAATTGACTGCTCAATCGTTCGTTTGAAAAGCACTGATTGCCTGATTTATTAGCAAATTCGAATGTTTCACACTTTGGAATTTTGTGAAACCAGTTGCTTCAACTCAATTGACTGCTCAATCGTTCGTTTGAAAAGCACTGATTGCCTGATTTATTAGCAAATTCGAATGTTTCACACTTTGGAATTTCGTGAAACCAGCTGCTTCAACTCAATTGACTGCTCAATCGTTCGTTTGAAAAGCACTGATTGCCTGATTTATTAGCAAATTCGAATGTTTCACACTTTGGAATTTTGTGAAACCAGTTGCTTCAACTCAATTGACTGCTCAATCGTTCGTTTGAAAAGCACTGATTGCCTGATTTATTAACAAATTCGAATGTTTCACACTTTGGAATTTCGTGAAACCAGCTGCTTCAACTCAATTGACTGCTCAATCGTTCATTTGAAAAGCACTGATTGCCTGATTTATTAGCAAATTCGAATGTTTCACACTTTGGAATTTCGTGAAACCAGTTGCTTCAACTCAATTGACTGCTCAATCGTTCGTTTGAAAAGCACTGATTGCCTGATTTGTTAGCAAATTCGAATGTTTCACACTTTGGAATTTACAACAGCGACGGCCGAAAAACCGTATTTTTAAATACGAGCGATATTTCGCTCGAGTGATCGCTCGATTATTGCAGTCGCTTGATACTCGAGTACCTACTCGGTTATTGAAATTAATCGGTTTTTCCCATCACTAATTTTGACACCAATTGAATCTAATTGCTTTCTCTTGTTCCGTCAACAGATGTTGTATCCAACGGGAAACGAATTTCTTTACAGATACTTGTTCATGTAATTTTTTTTGGAATTGTGGTCTTTGAAATGCCTAATGATGCTTCAGTTTCACGATACATGTCGATCTTTTTGGACCAGCTTTCTCGGTGACTTATGTTGCTGGTGGACCTGTACTTGGATTTTCGCTAAGACTAATCCGTCCGCGTTTCAATTCTGCCTACCAATGAGAAATTGTCGACTACTGTGGTGCTTTACTGCTGAAAACAGAAACCAACTCGGCAAGGTATTCTTGTTGAGTCAACTGTCTTCAAAAATTGTTAACTTATTGCGCGAATATTTTCTTGGCTTAATTCGATTTTTCGACTGACTCAACTTCAAGGTACTTAGTTTAAGGACAGCTTTAAACGAAACGGTCTAAAACTTTGGTGTTAAGTCAACTAAAGGTGACAGTTAATTTTGACATAATTTTGACATATCGTCAGTGAAACGTGATAACCTGCTAACTCCATTACGTTAAGTTTTTTTATACCATTAGAAAGAGAAAAAAATACTCTATAAGTAGGGAAAGCAAATACATTTTTTCCCATTAAAGAAAATTTGCTATGTTAATTCAATAATATCTGCTAACTCCCAGTGATCTGAAATAGCCACTGAAATGCTGCTATCTCCGTAATTTCCGTTACGATCACGCTAAAGCAAACACAATACGTCGATCCAGGGTCGCACTAGGTCAAAGGGGCCCGGGTGGCAATGTAAGGAGAGGCCCGTGTGGATTTTTTTGCGTATTTTTTCGCCTTATGTTGTGGTCAAATTTTCCCTATTATATACAGGGAGTCTTAAATAAGTGCATATATTTTTAGGGGTAGTATATTTCGACCCAAGTAACACGATTATGAGTTTTTTTTGCGGGAATTTTTTCTTTCGAAAATTTGGAATTTAAAAAAAAAATTGGATTTTTTTTTAATTTTTAGTTTAAAAACATACTTTGTAATATGGCAGCATAGGTTACTATTAAATTTACAAGAAATAAAATCCAGTCATTCTCAAAATTTTGGCAAAAAATTGGAAATTTTAAAAGTGAAATTGAACTCGGTTGTTTTGGATTTATTTGAAAAAACGGTAAAGAGAAAATATTATGTTTCTTTTATCCAGATTTACAAGCCCTGGAAATATTTGCACTTATTTAAGACTCACCCTGTATAGAAATCAGGGAACTACCCTAATGCAAGGTAAACCAATGCAATGCAAATGCCATAATGCAATGCAAAAGCAAATATTGTTAAGAATAAATAATTAACTATAAAGAAGGCCCGCGAAGGCTGGGCCCCCCCTAATAGTTATATATATAATATGGCCAGTCCGACCCTGCGTCGATCCGTTCTGTAAATACGGGGTATTCGTAAAGGGTAAGGGGAAAAACGAAATTCTCTATATACCAGCAATTCATCGGCGCGGCGTGCTATAAATAGTTTAAATAACCATTACTTACTTGTACAAGAATTTTCATAATACCTAACCCGTTTTATTTTTTTTCAACGTTTTTCCACGTAAATAATACCCTTATAATACATAATCTTTATAAAAATTAAAAAATAAGGAGAAAAGTAATAAAAATTTATTAAAATCACGCTGTTTTCATCCTATAATGACCGCACTGTTTTCCAAGCTCGGTCTACTACCGTTGTAAAAAAAATAGGATTAGTTCATTAAGTCCAAAATGCCGCTACTTCAGTTCTTTAAAATGCATTAAAAATGTATTCGTTTTTGGACTTGTATGTTTTGCTTCTAGACCGACGATATTATAAATATATGGTTATGAATATCATATTTTTTAAGTTTAATTGATTATTTCTAAATCAGTTTGGGTAATATTCAATTCCATTTTCAAAATTTTAAACAATAAAGGTTTCTATCTCCAGAAATATATTTTTATTTCTTATTTCTGCAAGACGAATATCTGCTATCTCCCTATTGCGTCTGAAAAAAATGAAGTAATACGAAATATTGAGTTTTATTGTTCCCCAGCAAATAAAATTCTTATCTCTTTATCATATTAATGTTTGTAATTTTTGCTCTCCTGTAAAATTAGGAATAATGGAGTTAGCAGTTATTACATTTCACCGACGATATATTTGTTGATAGGCGCCTACTATGTTTCTATATTCAAAATATAAAAGGCATCTCTTGTAATAACCGATACGTGACTAGTATATTTATACATCCGGAACTTTAAATGGATATACTAGTAATTACAATTTTAATTCATTTTTCCACTATACTGGAAACAATATAGTCATTTTATTAAGTATGCTGTTGAATGAACCAATTTCACAGATGAGTGAATAAAAACTGAATGTTTCTGTCTTATCGCAAATAATTTATGAATCTGCATTATTGATGGGAAAAATTCAATTTGTTTTTTTTAACAAACAGCTAACTGTTTCGAGTGCTGTATTATTATTCTCTTTTAAAATTTTACCCTACACAGTGGCGCAACTTACAACAACATTAGCCCAACCCCCGAAAGACCGGCGCGGGTCATTTAAAATTGGTTTTACCTCAAATCAATGTTATCTTATAAGTGGAAGGGCTTGAGCCCCCTAAAAATCGGGGTCTAGCTGCGCCACTGGCTCTGCATATTAAATTAAGAGTATATTATACAAATAGTTAAAAGTGAAGATATTTGTACATACCTACTTAATTTTTCTAATATTGTTCTGTTTTTATTTTCAGAAAAGAAAAATGGTTGTGGATTCTACATCTACGCAAGTTTTAAGGGACCTTGAAATATCTTTAAGAACTAATCATATAGAGTAAGACTTTTTTAATGATAGTTACTGATTATTTTTAGATTTGTTTAGTTTTTTGTAATAAATATCTCAAAAAGGATGGTAGTATTCGAGGTTTTAAGAGACAAAAACAAGAAGATTTTTTTTCATTTTAAATGTTGTAAATAACCAAAATGACGATTTTTGAAGCAACATGAAAGTATTTACAATATGATCATAAAAAACGGCATCGGCGATGGCTATGAAGATCGCGGTCATTTTATGTGTAAAATTATATCGGGAATGTCATCGATCGTCATTTCCAAGCCAACTGGACGCCGCTACCTTACTGGACAACCGGATACTGAAATAGTCCAGCTGGCTAGATAAAAAAACCTTATCATTGTTACGTGGCTAATTTTTCTTGTGAAGCCATTATGAAATAGTTATGTCTGCCAGCGCGATAAGGTACACGAGTTATAATTGTGAAATAGTATAACAACGAGTTTCTAAAACGACGTTTTGCATACGAGTTCGACAGTTTGTTGGCTCTTGTCTGCGGCTCGAGCCACTAGTCGAACAAGTGTTCAAAGAAGTTGTCGAACGAGTTTTTTACGCTATTTTTTCTACGACTACAAATTACCAGCAGACTCACTCAGTTTTTGCCAGTTTTGTGAAATAATTTGCGATGTAACGATGACAGTTTTCTGACGGCTGCGTTGCGTTTGGCGTTTCAGCTAAACATTGGAGGTTAAAAATGTTAAAATTGGCACATGTCGTGTGCAAAATGACACATGTCGTGCGCTAAATCCTTAGCACACAACAGTTTGCAAAACGCCAATTTCAGATCGAGTTTTCCGTGTGTCAAACTGCATTTTCTAGGCTAGTCGTAGAAAAATAGCTTTTATTTATTATTAAGAAACGTGGAAAATTTTTCTCGTCGCTAAGATGCCGGCAGGAAACGCGAAAGAGGCATGAAATTTTGAAAAAAAATTATGGCATACATGCAGGCCGATTGGTGGAATGTAATATTTATTTATTTTAAAAGCCGTATACATAAGGACAGACAAAAAGATCGTCGATATTTTTTATCAAAAGCGCGATATTACTCTAGCGCTTTCAGGGAACGCTCGCCGCCTCATCCATTTAAGTACAGATAAATCATGTATACGATTATATTATAAATATACTGATTTATTATTTCAACAGATATTATACATTTACTATTCTGTCCCACTATTTGTAACTGACTCATTGTACTGCAGATCCTCGCTCTCGCAAACGAGTCTTTCTCTGAGTCGATATCTGCATCGTCAAATTTTTGAAGACTTAAGCTTGATTTTCTTGCATCCGTTGTCCGACGATACGTTGATACGATATTAATTTCATTCATTGTATTTAAAGGCTTCGATTGGTTAACCGTTTCTAACCAATCGAAGTCTTTAAATTCAACCAATAAAATTAATATCATCAACGTATCGTCGGACAATGAATGCATGAAAATCAAGCTTTACATGCACCGTATTATCGAATAAAAACGGCGTCAGCGATGGCTATGAAATGAAGATCGCTGTCATTTTAAATATAAAATTATATGGGAAATGTCATCGATCGTCATTTCCAAGCCAACTAGACGCCGTTTTTTTCGATCATACGGTATTATGTTTCAATTGATAACGCGGCGAGCGTTTCCTGAAAACGCTTATACAGGGTGACTCTTAAATAAGTGCAAATACCTTTAGGGGTGATATATTTTGACTCCAGGAACACGTCAATAAGATTTTCGCAAAAAAACATGTTGAAAATTGTGTATTTTTTTGTAAAATTTTCCTGTATATTTTAGAAAACTTTTTAGAACTACCTGTTCACCGCAAATTTACCCACGGTATAATTATTTCTTTACCTACCTTGCTTACGGCTTTACTCCAGGGTTGCGACACTAAAAAAATGGATGCAAATAAAAAAAAACCAGATGGCTCACAAAATTATTTAAAAATAAATCAATTTCTTTTTTAATTTGCAAACTTGAATAGTAACTCGGTTATTTTGGACTTATTTGGAAAATGATAAAGTAAAAACATTTCTTTTATTGAGATCTACCAGCTCTGAAAATGTTTGCACTTATTCAGGACTCACCCTGTAGAGTAATATCGCACTTTTGGTAACTGTCTACCACTGATTGAGCCACGATTTTTGTGTCTACCTTTTTGCGTACGGCTTTTTAAATAAATAAACATGACATTCCACCAATCGGCATGCATGTACGCGATGATTTTTTTGTCAAAATTTCATGTCTTTCGCGTTGTCTGCCATTTTAGCCACGAGAATATTATCTGCAAACAATTTTCCATGTGGCAATTATAACTCGTGTACCTTATAATATTTTTAGTGTCAAAATTTCACCCTTTCGACCTCACTTTAAGCCCCGGGATCGCGCTGGCAGACATGACTATTTCATAATGGCTACACAAAAGAAAACTTCACAAGAAAAATTAGCCATGTAACGATGATAAGTTTTTTTATGTAGCCAGCTCTCCGTCTAAAAGACTTTTGGACTTTCATTGTCTTTATTTATTTTAATTTTCACAGCGTTTCGGTCAGATGTATCCGAAAAAAATTCTTTTAGTATAAATACTGAATTTTTGACTGTCATTTTGGTATATTGAGGGGCGTCCATTAATTACGTGAAGGGATCTGGATATATAGGATGTTGAAGCCGGTTAGGTTGCAAAAAATAGTTTAAAAATGTGAGAAAATCGGATTAATTAACCGTAAAACATATTTCTAGACTGAGATATGCCGAAATCTGACACACTTCTTCTATACAGGGTGTCAAAAGAAATAGTTATCTAACTTCGGTTTGTGATTTTACAGATAAAAATAAAAGTTCCTATGCACATATGCCCTAAATGCTCCCCAAAGGCTTTACAGCTCTCGAAAGGACAAATAAAAATAATATACAGGGTGGCGCACCTCATTCGCCTCGGTTGATTATACGAAAACGGAAAGATGTAGAAACAAAATATTTTATGGGTATATGCGGGGAGATAATGTGCACAATTTAAAATTATTTTGAAATGTACAGGGTGTTTCAGAACTAAGATCCATACCAAAGTTATAAGTTTTCTTATGGAACACCCGGTATTTTATTTCATTTTTGGATTCTTCGGCCCAAAAAAAGGTATTTATTATAAGGGTTAAATATGTTTAAAATCTTTAGTTTTTGAGATATTTAAAGATATTTGAATTTGCATGCTACAAGAGAATAGATTATTAACACCCTGTACATTACTTTTCAGAATTAGTTCTTGTGCTGAGTTTAAAGGTAGGGAAAAAAACAAAAAAAACTTTACAGAAAAATGATATTCCCTCCTTAAATGTATACAGGGGTACAGGGGTACCAAAAATTGCTGGTATACAGGGGTACCAAAAATTGCTGGTCTATTTTAAATATTTATTTTACAGAAAAGCTTTGTTATTTCAAATGCAACACTATGTATTTTTTTAAATAAGTGGAAACAGATTTAAAGGCTCTTTCAAACTATATTATGGTTTCCTATACCTATCTGGCTCAGATTTTAAATAAAAAGCGATTTTTCAATAAAATTGTAATCAAGATGGCTAGTGTTTCATGGCAAGTTTCTTGTAACAGTTAGTAGCTATTTTCAAAATCGAAATTAGTTTATGGACTTATTTAAATTTATACCAGTTGACTTTTATTTAATTTACTTGCAATAGTTTAATAAATAATATTTATTAAATATGTGTATATTATTATATCAAGAAAAACGAAGAAGTAGAGTTCTTTGAATTTTTTTACGATGACTTGTAGATATATGAATTTTCTATAAAATAGCCAATTACGGCAAATTCATTTTATTCACTTTCAACGACAGGTTTCTGCCGAATAGGTTTTTTATAAGCCACACTATCAGCTCTGCGAAATAGGACAAGAAGTTTTTCAAAGAAACGCTTATCAGGAAGATTCCTATTTGGATATCTTTGAGCATAAGCCCTTGAGGCCAAGAAGCAATTTTCCTCACAAAATAATATCACTAGTAACATATCTATTCGTTTCGCCAGCAGATACTGCTTTATTTTTCTTGATAAAATAATGAATACTTACTTATTAAACTATTGTAGGTAAATTTAAGTAAACTGTTATAAATTATAAATAATAATATCCATAAACTAATGTCGACTTTGAAAATAGTTAGGTACTAACTGTCACTAGAAAATTGCCATGGCGACACCAGCCATCTTGATTGCAATTTTATTTAAAAATCGCTTTTTATTCAAAATCTGAGCTATATAGTTTGAAAGAGCATTTGAATCTGCTTCGATTTATTTAAAAAAATACAGGATATTGCATTTGAAATAACGAAGTTTTTATAAAAAATATATCCTTAAAATAGATCAGCAACTTTTGATAGCCCTGTATAAATTTAAGGAACTAATACCATTTTTCAGTAAAGTTTATTTCTCTACCTTTAAACTCAGCGTAAGAATTAATTCTGAAAAGTAATGTACACGGTGTTAATAGTCGATTCTTAAATGCACGATTGTAGCATGCAAATTTAAATATCTTTAAATATCTCAAAAACTAAAGATTTTAAATATATTTAACCCTTATAATAAATGCCTTTTTTTGGGCCCAAGAATCCAAAAAATTAAACAAAATACCGGGTGTTCCATAAGAAAAAATATAACTTTGGTAAGGATCTTAGTTATGAAGCACCCTGTATATTTTAAAATAATTTTAAATTGTGCATATTGTCTCCCCACATATACCCATAAAATATTTTGTTTCTACATCTTTCCGTTTTCGTATAATCAACCGAGGCGAATGAGGTGCGCCACCCTGTATTGTGATTATTTTTAAAAACATTGGTAAATAGTTTTTCTTAAATTTGGTATTCTTAAGGTGCGTATTCATTATCCGAACGAACAAGCGAACGAACGAACGAACGAATGAAAGTGCGGTATATTTAGACGGGGACCGAACGCATGCGGCCGTTCGTTCGTTCGTTCGCTCGACCATCCGT